AAAAATTCAATGCATTAAATGCAGTTATATGCAACACTGTTTGACTTGAAGAAATCTCTTTAACATTGAAACCTATTTTCTGCATATAAAATTAAATAATTTTAAACTCAAAGTGATATGAGTACTTCCACACTTTAAACGCTGCATGGTCGTGTTCTCTCCTGCACTCCATATTATCCATTGTTGATCTGCACATGTCTGTCACCACGGATGTCGCACGCTCGTACATCATTGTCATGAGACACTCACAAACAAAATCACGGTTTAGTAACGCAGCCTGCTTACGGGAAAGTAACTGTATTTAATTACCTTTTTTGCAATAGTAATCCCTTACTTTTTTCAAGTAATGAGTAAAGTAACTGGATTACAGAGAGACCATGCAGGAAAGGCCCCAGTCAACCAGGAAATGTAAATCAGGAAGTTTCTTGCCATGATTTTGAGCTGTATTAAAATGATGAAGTGGAGTTTGTAGTCTATCCTCATTTTGGACATAGTTGTATTTTAATTAGTTTGCCAAGTTCGCAGAATGATTTCAATAGGTTTTCATATTTTTAAAAGTCTCATTTTTATTTTCATTTTAATTAACTAAGTTTTTAGTTTAAGTTAACTGTAAAGACCTCGCTCCAAGCACTCTGTGTCCTCATTTCACGTGGTATTAATTTGCCTCTCGTCCATTTCTAGAAACACAAGAATCTGAACTGACGTGTTTTTGCAAAGCTTGAATATTTTAACACAGATTACTCTCTATTCAGTTTTGCCTGGAGTGAAGTAATCTCAGTTAACCTAACATAACATGACATGACACTTCATGTGAATGCACAGTAGACTTTACAGAAGTTGGGAATTAATCTTGTAATGAAGTGATTTTTGCTACTGGTTTGTCCACGCTGACACAGCCATTCATAAAACACAGAAACAATGCCCAGGGCAAAGTATAAAAGATGTGAGTTTTGTAGTCCACGATATCAACTCAGCAGACTGACATCAGCAACATACTGCTGTCACATTATCACGTGTCAGAGCAGTCACATACACACTGGTTCTGTCCTCCTCAGTCACTATAACTGCCGCTTTACAAGAAATAGATTTTCACCCACATCATAGTCCAGTGAGATATGAGTGTGCACAACAAGTCCACAGATAAACGTCTCCGGAGGATAACGTTGTCTGTGATCAGCCATGCTCATCATATCAAAATGAGTACCACGTGCAGTATGTGCCTTCTTTGCTTATATACCAAGCCAAACGAGTGTACCCATGTGTCCAGATTTCTGGCATGGCTTCATGACACATTGCTAAGTGGATTACATTTCATGGACTTGCCTAAGATGAAGAGGGCTCATGGGCTGAAAGCACCTAAATACCATGCTATTCATGTGAGAACATTTATTGCCTTAAGGGCTGAGGAATGTCTAGTGGCAGAAGCAGCCTGCATCAATCTGAGTCACAAGGCTCAGCAGCTGATAACAGGGGTGGCAGGAGATCAAGAAGAGCTGCTTTTATTGTCAATTATAGTGAGAGGAGGTCCACAAAAGCATGGTTGGCTTTACACAAAATCAGCAGTGGAAGGTTATTCTAGATGACAAATCATCAAACTTTAATAATCAGATCCTAAAACAATATATACATATATATATATTTAATTATTGAATGTGACAAAGGCTGTTCGAGATGTGAAGTTGATGCTTTCACACACGATATGTGAAATCTTAATTCAGTTTGTAAAAGAACGGAAAAGTTTCATTGGGAATCTTTTAAAAAATGATATTATTATAACATTATAACCTACTGTGACATCGAATTGTTCCTTAAAAAGAAAAATTGTTATTGTTGTTATGGATTTTCATAAACTATAGACTTCATTGTTTCATCCTGCTATGGATGGTTTCATTGCGCTTCCCAGTATTCTCGTTATGACTCCATAAACATGCAGATGTTTGAACCAATTCAGCTCTTTCCTTTTGATGGAATACCAATAAGAGCCAAGGATGCAGTTAACGATTGAAAATATATTAAAGGGTTATTTGTGCATAAGTGGTGTGGATGCCACACCCATAGTCTCTATGTGAACATGTACTTTTTGTTAGTATATTTTGTTGTAGTACAGCAACGTGAGAATATCAGTAAGCTCTTCTCTGTGCAGGGGACATATGCTACAGTCTTTAAAGGGCGGAGCAAACTCACTGAGAACCTGGTTGCACTGAAGGAGATCCGGCTGGAGCACGATGAGGGGGCACCTTGCACTGCTATCAGAGAAGGTATGTGCACACAGACACACACACTTTACAGTCCAGTGCTGCTACTACTACTTACACTACTTACTACTAACAGGTAGGTCTAATAATAACACCGTGTCCTTTTATTCACCTGCAGCTTTAGTAACAGAGCAACTTGAATTAATACTACAGAACTGTTGATACAGTTCAATATACAGTAACAGGTCGATGTTAGTTTAAACAACTTGCTAAAGAATTTGCTCATGTTTGATCCTTTTTAGAAGCTGGATTATCTTAAATGGTTATTTAAATGTTCCTCATGTGAGTCATGTCACGGTCTCGGGATTTTACAGTGTTATGGAATTTTGATCATCATTAAATTTTTATTTTTGTTTGGTTTATTCTAGTCTAGTTGTTCTAGTTATTTTATTCTGTCTCTTAGGCTGAGATGTGGAAAGATCTTGCAGACCCAAATGCAAGACGCAGAAGACGCAAAATCAAACTCAAAACAGACATTAAGTGCAAATTTAATCTGAACAATTTACAATGTCCAAAGAATCCAAAGGGAATGCAAGCCAAAGAAAACTCCAAATACAAGGGAATATATACAAGTTAAGACCAAGAACACAAGAAACAGAGAGCAACCAGTACTGAAAAAATAAATAAAAGGGAACTCATTAAATAGTAACAGTGAGTGAAACTTAAAAGAACATAATATATCAGAAACTCAAAACACAAAATCTTTGTGTGGAAACAGTGAAGCAGGAGTATAAAGTAGCATGAAAAAAAATCAGTACATGCATGTGTGTTAAATTTGATGAAAAGGATCAAAGAGCTCTTTTTGTTGTACAGTGGCTATGCAAACTTTAAAGCAACACACAGCTGCTAGCTTTAGACCACAGACTGTATATAAAGGTGGACAAATAAGTGAAGCCAGAACATTTAGTTCCACACCTCGGGTGTAGTGTTGTCAGGTTTTGTTGAATAAAACAGCTCACTTCATGTCTCCTTCCCTTGCCCAACCAGTGTCTCTGCTAAAGAACCTGAAGCACGCTAACATTGTCACCCTGCATGACATCATCCACACCGACCGCTGCCTTACTCTGGTGTTTGAGTATCTTGTGAGTATATCACGTCATCTTTATTAGGTTTTCTGAAGATGTTGATCTCAAATACCAAAAAACAAAATGGATCAATTTGACTGTGTGTTTCAGGACAGTGATCTTAAACAGTACTTGGACAACTGTGGGAACCTCATGAGCATGCATAATGTCAAGGTGAGTCATATGCATGAATCATCATCTACATACTGACCAAAGAGTTCAGTTGCAGGCTGCAAGCTGTAGCACTAAGTAAGTTTTCTGAAAAATGCATTCAACATTTCTTTAACAAAGGTCGGGAGGTCACCGAACCTCACCAAACCAAATTACAATCAGGGGGAACCAACAAAAAATTCTGCCACTGTGGATCCACCTACTACAGTGACCTACGTGAACAAGAGAGCAGCCAAAACGAACTATTTTGTTTGCAAATGTGAAAACCTTTGGGCAGATCTACGGTCTGTATCAGGACAAAACTGTTTAGTTTTTTGATACTAAGAGTTGCTCTCCATATTCATCACTAGGTCCAGTGTAAATTGTGCAGTGGAAACCTGACCTTACTACATATGTATTTATGGGAGCTTCCCTTTCAGCTTGAAAAAGTTTGGAAGGAGAGTATTTAAATGATTGACAGAAATGTGCTTTGTACATCTTGTATGATGTATGTTTAGATTTAGTAAGTAAAACTTTATTTATACAGCACCTTTCAAGATAAAAATCACAAAGTGCTTCACAGAAGCTAAAACCT